ATCATTCCCAACAGCAACAGGGTTTCGAGATTTACCAACAATATCAAATTTTCAGAGTTTTGAAAATTTAGAAAACCGGGTTTGTTCGGAAATACGAAACGTCAAAAACACAACGTCAAAAACACGGTTTGAAAACAACGAACAAGACGACCCAAAATAAATTATAACGAGGCTACGAAACGACCAAACGAGACACCGAATTCACACAAATTTATCACAGCTGCAACAATACTCGACTTATACAGTAAACGAGAGTTTCGATATTCCACGAAAATTCACGAATATACGAATTATACGTACGAACACACAAATCAACAAATAAACCGAATGGAATCCGACTTCAAACAAACTTTCGATAAACCGAACACATCATATATATAACGCGCGATATATGAAAATGATCGTAATAATGAGGGGATTCAAATAAGTTACCCGACTTCGGGAAACTACGAGTTATTGAACGGGAAACGGGTCCGACAGCGGGTCGAACAACTGGCTTTGGGCTTGAACCTTCGAACACGGTTTAAAAGTTGTTGGTTCTCTAACGCTTGACTATCTCCGTAGCGAGGTTGTCGATTACAGACGCAGATGCTGAAACACGTCGAGCGGGGCTAACCGGAGGTGACCACCGGAAACAATGGTGGACGGGCGGGAACTCTGCTCGGAGAACCGACGACGGTTGCCTGCTATTTCTGGTGGTCTGATGGCTGCTGTCTAGTTGTAGGGTGGGATCACGACGTGATGGAGGCTTGCGGTTAGGAGAACGGCGGTGCAAAGGTTCGCCGGCGGAAACAAAATTGCAGGTTCTATTAATTTTTTTTTTTTTTTTNNTTTTTTGAAACCTGCTAACGAGAGAACAGAGAGATTGAAGGAGAGATTGCGATTATCTGCTCGGTTCTCAATTGAAATAGGCGAGAGGGAGAGATAAGATGAGAGAACGTGCGAGGACAGATCGCTACCAGATTTTTGAATGAGCAGATAATGTGAGACTCGGTCTCGGCGTAGAAGGAAGAAGAGAAGGCCCGCTATTACATCTTGGGTCACCTACAAAATAGTTAATGGGCTACAAAACAATGTCATTTGGGCCAACTAGCAACAAGGAGTTTGGGCCAATATAAATTCAAAAGCTGAAATTAATAATATAAAGATCGGGCCTGAGATAAATTTAATCGGGCTGAAAAAAAAATCAACGCGATAATAAAAAATTTCTCGATCGATTCGATAGAAATTAATAAAACCGGTATTATATACATACTTATATAAATATATTATATAATACACAATAATAATAATAATAATAATAGGCATTTAAAACAATTAGACATATAATCACAAATAAATATTTACTAATAGTAATATAATATAAATAAGCAATAATAATGGCAATAATAAACCAATAATTAATCCCAAATAATTCTAATTCAAACGGGGCGTTACAGTCTATCCACCTTACAAAGAATTCCGTCCTCGGAATTCGAAAACAAAACCAGAAAGCGATAAAATACAAAGGAGAACTCAGAACTCAAAGTTCGGATAACGCCTCCTAATCTCGACCTCCTTTTCCCAAGTCGCCTCGGTCTCATCGTGTCGGCTCCACAACACCTTCACCAAGCTCACTGCCCGGTTCCGTAGCTGATGGACCTTCCGATCCAGAATAGCTACCGGCACCTCCTCATAGGTAAGGTCTCGCTCAACCTGCTGTTCGCCGAAGTCCACCACATGATCAGGATTATGCAC